ATGAGGGTGTGGGTTCGAAACCTGACAAGTACCAATGTGGCTTTTCCCGAGTTATATTTCTATGATTATTTAGACACCACTGACATACTGTGAAGGTAAACATCGTGAGGAAACCTGGACTTATAATTTCTAATAAGTTTGAAATCGCCAATCCACATTAAGCCCCGTGTGAGTAGAGGTGCTCAGCAGTGGGCACTTACAGGCTGATGATGATGATGATATCTGTTTACTTACGAGATAGGACGGCATACAATAATCCCTTTCATCTGAAGGTAAGCAATCAGCGTAGCTCATGGGCACTTGCAACTCTAAAGTTACAAGTGTTTTGCAGGCGTTGTTTGAGATCCGAGGTTTAGGGTTGGAGAGAACGGATTGGGCCTCCGGTAATCTCACTCACAGAAAACACAAGACAAACGTTGTTTCACAACGACTTTCTGTGGGGCTGTGGTATCACTCCGGTCGACTAGAACTGTTTGTCTTGATACAAATTGGCATAGATGCAGATCGGTGTGATTAATAGCTCACTTTTTATTTCAGGCTAAGCCGCTTTTAGAAGCGAGTTTATGCATAATGCTTTCTGAAAACTTTCTAGCGTGATGGGGATAAAACATGTTACATTTTAGTTTTATACTTGAGTCATCAATTACACGCCAGAGTTAGATGTCCACCGGGCAGGGCAGAGTAGGACACTACGTTTGCCAAAACGCAATCTGCACTCCAGAACAAGTTTACCCCAACGGCCATCGGTTATTGGACAAAGGTGACAAATACACGAGTTATATAAGACTACATTCGCTTTAAAAATACATCACACAAAATTACTAGGCGGTACGTTTCAGGTAAAACATGGGACAAAAATATAAACGAGTAAATACTAAACATTCGAAGCTTTGGCAAAACACATTAAAAAAGAAGCGAGCACTTTTTATAAACGTATTAGGAACACGTCTCCATCCGAAAGCGACGTTTTATGAACATTTGACATTCAAGGAATATGTAATACGAAAAGTTTATTTATTTACAAACGATGCGATGGAAGGTAACGAAATCGGAATTTCGCTTTACCACATACAATTTTCACGTGAAATCATTTGAGTTCGTTTTAGATAACAATAACATATAAAAAGCATAATATATTGTCAACATAGTTGTTAGAGAATACATGTTACACTTTTGACACTTTTCAGTGTAAAACATTTTTTAGCTCGAAGGAATCCCTATTTGAAATATTATCACTAAGCATCAATGTCGCTCTGGAAAACACTGCTGCAGTATGATAGCCTATAAAGTCCAAATAGACATAAAATCATTAGCCAAACAACGCCCGATATTCCCATTCTTCTTCAAACCTATTACCCAATTGGTGACAAAAGCCATTACGGCTGGCCCAGTTCACGCCACGTCATCGGAAAACCCCCACAGTATTCCGCTACCGTAATTGCATCAACTGCAATCCATGTAGACCCAGCACTAGGTCAACGACACTGGCCTATCGTGCTAATACTAATAGAGAGGTAAAATTCTGGCGTGTTTTCAAGCAGTAATGTTTAAATTATAAAGTAGATTAAGGAATATTAGGGTACGAGAGATTGTTTCTTTGATAATTTTGTTTTATTGTTTAGTTTAGTGAAAGGTTGTTTGTGACTTGGCTTCCATTAAATCATTAACTGTAAAACGTTCAAAACTAATCACACAAAACTCCTACTTTTCACTATAAAATAAAAATTCAATCAAACATATAAAACCTCTTCAATTTGAACAAGTTTCAAATTCAGAACGAACGCTCAGCTGTCAACGTTTCGCCTGTCAACTTGTCAAACGCATGAAGCCAGTCGAACGGACGTTTATCGAAATAATTTTGTGATCATAATATTATTTTGTAACCAACTGAATTATGTTCCGTGCTTCCACTGGAGTTATAAGGGATACTCTGTGCAGGTAATTGTTGAAGAAGTTGTATTTAAAGGCGATATGTTTACCTATGATAATATATTAGGCTTAAAGACCAACCTCGAACTCATACATACCTAATTATACATATTACTATGACCTCTAAAGTTACCCACTAACAGAGCCTCAGCCCTTAAGGATACCCATTGACCGAGCCCACATTTTCGGTCCCAAAACCCAAATCAATACACATAAAAACCCGAACCATATTTCTATTCAGTGGCCGAAATATTCGTTGCAAGCGCTAACCCGATGCAATTTAATCGAGTGTGATACGTCAGTCTATGAATGCGATGGAAGTTCGCGCCCCGAGTCACGTTCCATCAACTAACGAGCTAAACCAGTGCCAAGGATTCAAAATATACACAATCACTTAGGCTATACAGTTGACGAGTGTATGAACACCGCTTAATGAGCTCTTAAGGACAATTATCTAGATTATTTGTAGCAAAATTTAGTTAAAACTTCCGTGAATATATCCATCGCTTATCGCTTCATCATTATGATAAAATAGTCTACAAAAAGCTGGAAAGGTACCTACAGCTTCTACAATAGCAGGTACTTGCTCATAATAATATGACACACTCGTTTCCTTTCACAATGAAACATGATTATTGTCATAATTTTTGTAACTAATTAACTATGCAACTAAAACAATAAGGACATACCTAATAAGGGTTAATTTAATAAGAAAAAGAAAGTATCCAATCCCAAACGAAATAACCATATTTGTCCGCAATATTTATTTCCGTAAGTAAGTCTAACTTAAAGAAAACTATTCGTCTCTCGAGAGTAGTACGCTTTGATAGTGCAAGCAAACAGTACCCGACGGATGTGTTTAAATAACAAGGATATCGTAGTAAAACTAAACTGCGAAGCTAATACAAGTTGAGGGAATATTTACTCCCTAAACACAACTTCCTATCTTGAGGTTAACAGGCAAACTTCTGTGAGGTATTCTCTATTATCTTGTTAGAGACATAAATGTAAAGGGTATGAGCCTATATATTTCAACAAATTCATATTAATTGAGGTTACAGCATAGTTTCTTCCATCATAAGTACGCAAAGGGACTATCATTTTTAAACAGGTTCGTGTAGCGTGAGGACTCCGTCAAAAATTGAATGATCAAATGTTTAATACTAACAATTTCTCTATCTAACAGACCTGAGTTTCAATCGCATAGTAGCTTTTCCAGATAATCCTAAAATCCCACACAAAAACCTACAATCATATCGCAATAACCGAATCAAAGAAACAATTAATAACAAAACAGCGTTACAAACAAAACCATACTCTAAAACTATAACCATTGCAACTAATTTCGTCTCTCCCCAACCCTTTCAAAACACGTTGACATGATTATTTCACTGAAGATACAGTTCAATAATTATTAATAATTTCCTTAGTAATTCGGTACAATTACGCCAATAGTTACTCTTCAAACCGGGTGAAACAGTTTGATACGGGAGGCAATAGGAAGCCAAACTAATTACCTAAACTGTAAGATACAAATTGCAAACATAATACAATTATGATGGTATCGAGAGCTCGTGTGTAATTATAACATAAGCTACGTACCTATATATCTTATCAACGTTTTGTTAGTTTGAAGATTTACACCCGGTTTCCGAAAGGCCGATCAATGTTAAAAACAATTTAATCTCTTGTCAAGTCATCTGATTGGTTGACTGAATTATCAACAACCAATCAGATGACTTGACAAGAGATTTAACAGGAGATAAGTTAATTTTAGCGTTGACAAGCCTTTCAGAAACCGGGTGTTAGCTATTAGTTTTGTTTATTTATTAATACTTTATTACATAATCAAAGTGATTAGAGACAATTTGAGCCTTGTTAGACGTAGCAAGATGTTTTGGACACACAAATAAAAAGTTTAATGAATCTTTTATAAATTTACTATCACCGCCATCCTTTGTTCATTCACACCTTTTGGGTAATGGTGCAAGCAAAAATAGTAGTCAACTATTAAAGAGCACGATCTCAAGTAGATATTAAGACAACTTAACTAATACTCTTATCAAAGTGTGTTATGTTATACAAACTTTAATACATGTACACAGCGTATTCAAAGAATTTTCAAAAATGGCATATTACGATATGTCTACTAACTTTTAATTAAAATCGGTTTACGTACTTTTCATAATTTTTGCCTGTAAAGCTTGCACAAAAATCCATGCATAACGCTCTTAATGAGCTAAGAGCTTTCTTCCTTTAATGAGAAGTTATAATAATTCACTTTGGTATATGGTCCGGAGTGGACAAAATGACAAAAGTGATGATAGGGTTAGATCATTTATTTGTGCTTAAAACTCTTGCATCAAATTGTCTACTAAATTCTAATATTTAATGGAATATGAACGACATAAACCTATAGTTTAAAATAATCTTTATATAATCTAATAGATTATATAAAACTACTGCCGCGCGGCTTCACCCACTGTTCACTCAGAAACAGCTCTATATGCATCAATCAGTGAAATAACTTTGGAAATCCGACCACCGGTTCCAAGGAATACCCCCTACACATTAAGATACAAAAATGATTCCTCTTTATAAGTGTAGTAATAAATACGTTTCTCTAAAAACAGCTAGTATTAGAAAGGACATAATGTCAACGGCATGAATAAAATGATAAAATGCATCAGATGAACGACTAGTTCAAGTAACGGTGCTTGTGTACCAGGGTCATAGAAGTCAGGGTCTTATGTATCACGTATACGTGCTGTTTTCAAAATTAGATTATGCATTTTCAACTTTATTGCGAAATATTAAAGTAGAAAAACGATTGACAGAGAGGGATAGCTTTATATGCTGGCTGGCAACTATACATATTACTATAAAAGTATAGACTTCTATACAAATTCCATATTTAGAATGTTACAGCTGGATACTGATCTTGAATTCCATTATATTGTGAGTTGGTATTGTGTGTCAGTCATATATTAAAATAACTTTAGGTATTATGTATTAAATTCTGCAAAAAAATGCTTCAATTTTGTTTCATTGTACTTTTCTTTTGTCAACAGGCCTGAAAAGAAAATTGTTAAGAGTGTTGCGATACCAACTGCTGACTACATATGGAGATATGACTTAACGCGTACGTTTCGCTTCAATGTACCCGACAAGAAGGCGAAATGTGAGCCACAGCCAGCAACCGAGGACAATGTTAAGAAAGTACCTCCGGTATTCCCACACGTGGGCAAGGCCTACAAGCTGGAGGACGTCAGGAGATACTCTCCCTTCCACTTCCCCGGCCAGGTAAACGATTTAGACATATTCGGCGTTGCTTTGATCAAACAAATAATGTACTGACCATGCTTGTCCACTCTATGTAAAAGCTTGAGTTTGAATAAAATATTTTGCTAAAACCATGTTTATGAACCTTCATCGCCAGGATATCCGCTGACAAACAGTTTTAAGTGTTCTCAAACATTTTCGTATTCCATTATGATATTATTCAAAAAATCTGTGTTGAAATAAATTTGCGCGACCGTCTCTCGGAAACTCGCGTACAATTTTTTATTCCCGTCGAACTAGGACGGCAGCTCTTTACCGACATAAAATTTACATTCAGAATTGGAAATATAAAAGCGGGAAATGGGAAACTTTTCGAATGGTGGTGCAGATACTGCGCTACGTTTTCATTTTGTTTCGAAGACTGGGGGATTGGGAACTTTAAACGGAGATTGGTACTCAATGATCCGGAAAATATGAAAGTTTGGTAGGCTTCACACGTTTTAGATAGATACAAACAGTCTCACAAACATTGAGAATTATATAATTGTACCCAGTTTTATATAAAACGCAATAATCCATTTAAAACCTGACAATTTGTGGCAGAAAACTGTATGTTGATACAGTACCACACGACCAGCTAGGTGGCAAATACCCAAGTTGCCGTGTAGCAGAATTTATCATGTGCAAGAGTTATGACGCGATACGAATGATTTACGATGTTGCCGGGATAGGCGACGAATTTTAAGCGTTTGTTGTGTGACGATAGAACCACATATAGGTATTAAATTTCTGAAAGAGCGGGTATATACATATTTTATATAAAAAACAATTTAAGTCTTTCATTGTGGCAATGCTGCTTACGCCATCTCCGAATAGGACTAATATACTAACAAGCTATAATGTATATAAAATTGTGGATTGGAACGTAACACCAAAACAATTTTATGCACAAAAATAGTTAAGATTGCGGTTCAGAAGTTTGGTTGAGTTTTACAATGACGACGTTTGTATAGTTGTATAGGAAATATGCTCTTGGTTGAGTACTTCATAATACTAAAACTAACACTATATTTCCTAAGTGGATATGTTAATGGCCCTAACAAATACAGCATGTAGGCAACAAAGGAATTTCTTGGAAACCAGGATGAAATAAACACATAAATACTCATTACACAGAACTAACTGAACTAAACATGTTGTATTATTTATTACATTAATTTTAAACAGGTGTATTCCTTAGGGATGTTATAGCCTTTGGTACTATCCAGACTTACGTCATACTGACGTTAAAATTTAATTTCCTTATTATTTTCTATACACTATTGGTATTCGTAGATGTAGAGATATATTTTAATCAAATCCGTATTCGTACACACCTAAAGATCTTGACTAAACCTGAAGAAAAACATAGGTATACATGCACACAGTTCATACAACAAACTCACACACACCTCTAACGAAGATAAAATAAACTTCGTATCTTAAACAGACAAGAAACACGCAAGTGTATCGTACAAGAGTTATGTCCGGTACAAAACGTCAGTAATCCCGGATTAACACAGCCGGACAGCCGGACTAGGAGTGAAATTAAACGAACGGAACTCGGATCCGGTACGTAATACGTTTCTGGATCACACACGCCCGATAGTGGGGTTATAGTGTGTTGTAAACAGGTATTGGGATGGTAGGGCTGCTACTACTGACTTGTTCTATGTTGCACTAGAAATATAAACAAAGGTTTTTTTTTTTAATTTAATTTAAGATCATGTTTGCTTAAGCTTTATCTATATTGAGTAATAAAGTGTGAAGGAAGGAGAATGTATTTACGGAGTTTTTTGGTTTTAACCAAAAATAGCCAAATAAGTAGAGAAACAAGTACATTCTTTATTGCATTCGTTGCATAGCAATAAATCAGTTATTAACTACAAATAAAACAATCGTTATCATATATCATAATAGCTATAAATACAGTTAAAGTTAAGTTTAAAAAACACTTTCCATTATTGTGACAACCCTACAAACATGGACGTTCCAATTACAGCAGACGATTGGAAGCTATCCGTACATCCGGTAACCGAAGTCCGAATCCCTTATCAGATCTTCAGATTGCAACACAGAGGTATTTGTATCGACATAACTATGTTAACTGGATATTGATGGAGTCCAACGATGGAGAAATAATTATCTTTGCCACTGTCGAACAGAGCAAACGACATTTACTGAGGGGTTTAGCATTTTTGAATACAATATTTTTATTTGATAGAATATAGGCAAGGAAGCAAGCATCAATAGATGGTAAGCGATTGCTGCTCATGGATCGCAACACCTGAGGAGCTATAAGTGGATGAATAGGGACTTGGTGATTGAGGATGGGGAGAAGGGGTAGATTGAGGATTTTGTAATTGAGAATGGGGAGAGATGTAGGATTGGGACTCGGGTATCTCTCGGGTACTTACGAGGGGACAACCAACAACAATTGAATATACCTTACTTACTTAACTAATTTTTTTTATTATTCTCAGTTTTAAGGGCTTTATCGCTGAGCGATAACGTCACCCTGTAAATACATAAATACTACTAGTTTTAGTACAGCTTGAGTGGCGCCACTTACGAATTAAGACCTGTCTGTTTAATATTAAGTCAGATAGATTAGCAATTTGAAGGACTTTATTCGCCACCAGCGCTCTTAGCTGTGAGTTGAAGCGTAATAGTCCTCATTAGTGGAAACTCTATAAGTACAGACAGAGGTAGATCAATAGATCATGCCCTTGTTAGTATTATTTGTCTAATGCTCTGTGTCATACAAGTTTAGACAACGGCTCATCAACCTACACCAACCTTTAAAAATGATTTTCGACTTTATTACAAAACGATAAAGTATCTATTTAATAATAGTGTAAGTTTACATGCTGGCGTAAAGGTTATGTAAAGGATGAATTGGATTAATCTTTGTGATTTACTCTAGCCAGTTGTGTACAATTTAATTGGTATATCGGCAACCATTAACTAATGAAATTGAGGTGCTACTGATGAAGCTAAATCCAATTAAGATTTCTATGCGCATGGTGTTCGTGTAATAAACATTACACGTGTAACAGAAACCCAGTTATTTGGCAAAGCAATTTTAATTTCGTATAGAAAGTTACGTAATCTTTCCTTATAAATTACGGTTAGTCCTATGTCTGTTCAATGGCATTCCATAAAATATTTTGTAGGTAGAAATTCTATAGAAATGGCTGTTACAAATCGGTGAGGAATCTCTTGCGTCACTGCTCTTGTAATTCATTGTAGATTACTCATCATTAATATCCCATACATTAATAGAAATGCTAAGCAAATATAGGACCATGATCTGGTGCAGTTAAAACAGTTGCCTCAACATTTACTATTTGTTATTCAAGATAAAATCTACAAATATTTTCATGATGGCAGAATCCTTTTCTTTCTTTCTCTTTCACTCAGATGAGCATACCATCATTACATTATCTCAGAAATGAATTCATGTTATTAATAAAGGAGAAGTAATTTGTACGATTTTAAGTAAATAAATACGAAATGTGTCAATAAAAGTGCGTAATTATGGTTTCAGAAAAATACCTTAGCGAAAAAGCTTGAACTATAAAAGATTTAACACATAATAAAAATGATCAAACAGTTTTATTTCCACCGAAATATGTGATATCTGAATTTAATTAAGAACGGTTGTTGAGTTTAATACAATATTCAGTACTCAATTTTCATCAATATTCATATTAATATATCGTTGATAAGTTTTCCAATAATTGTGATGGCAAAAATAAATTGCATCTGAGATTTCGCTGTCCAATAGTTGCGATAGTAATTTATTTTCAGTACATCATACGAAACTCAAGTGCAATACAATTTCTCCTTCTATCTCTTTTTCTTTTCCTTTCGCATTTCGAAAATTCAGTTATTTTAGGAACATTTTTCTCATTGTAATCGAATACTGCATTAGTTGTACCAATTTTTTTTTAAAGCAACACTTTTGCTTTTACCCTTCTCATAATAATACCATCAGTATCTCAGGCAGATCTGTCGCCAGGTCTTCTAGAATCTGGGACCATTGTGGGACGTACTGTTTCTTATTTTCCATTCAAGTCTACTTTTAAATATTTAACAATAATCTGTTATTCTAGTCTAAGCTCGAATGGGTTGTAGCCCGTGCAGACGATATCCTCAACTGGGGCCGCAGGAATTCTTTGTGGCCGATAACTTTCGGGCTCGCGTGCTGTGCTCTGGAGATGATGCACTATGCTGGACCCAGGTAACTTTAACACACTTAGTCAGGTAATGTCTTTTTAAAAGAAGAAACCGAAGCCTTTTTACAAAATAGGCTCTTTTTCAAATATTATGATAGTTTCGTGCACACTATAGAAATTCTAAAACAGCTACATAGATTGATATGAAACAATATCTTCTACACCTTTGGTATAAAACCGCATAACCGATATGTTAATATTGCCGCGTTGCATTGAGACGGCCAAGGCTCGGAACATGATTACCGGCACGTTCCATTGCACCAAGTCATGTAAACTTACTTGTTGCTTAATGACTAAGTACTATTTAAAACTAAACATTTTATGCTTTAGGGAAGCTTTTTGCACTAAAACCCTGTTCAATGCCAACGTTCAACCTTCCTTTTCTTTTAAGGGAACAAATACATTTATGTTATAGAAAACTTGTAAGCAAAGCAAATAGAATACTAGAAATTTACAGTGATAACTTTCCCTCAAGCGAAATGCCTTCATTCTATTTCAGGACTAAAATAAAATACATAACATTTCCACGACAATTCTTTGTTTACACAAAAGATACTTTGAAATCAGAACTAAGAAAAGGGAAAACGACAATTTATTCGCTCCTTCCATTATAAATTAAAGGGAAAGCTTTATAATTCAAGTGCTTTGTTAACTTTTCCACGCCATTAAACTCTGAGGAGTCCAAGTTCCAAGGGTTCCCGTCACGAGTTCGCGTTGACTGCCATTGTTTTAGTACAAGTGTATGCTTCATGGTTCTCGATACCCACGACTTGACCCCTAAAGGTTGAGACATGACATTTCCCATCAAATGTCATTGTAAAGCAAAGTCAATGGGATGTGCTTACGTAGAAACAATTGTCGACGGAATGCTATTCAATTTGTGCTGTATTTTCCATGATAAAAGAGGCACGGTCCTAATAATAATAAAACCCTTTTCTCAGATATGACATGGATCGTTTCGGAATGGTATTCCGGGGTACACCAAGGCAGACAGACGTGGTCATCGTCGCTGGGACTGTCACTAACAAGATGGCTCCCTGTCTTCGCAAGACGTACGATTTGATGCCCGACCCTAAGTGGGTAGTGTCAATGGGTAGTTGTGCAAATGGGGGTGGATATTACTATTACACTTACTCCACTTGCCGCGGAGCAGATAGAGTTATACCAGTAAGTAATTAATCACTTTTCTATTGAATTATAATTTTAATAATAATTGTCAAAAATTGCATCGATGTTTGTGGTCACATCTTAAGACACAATTCCGAAATAATTAGAAAAAAAGATACTTTACTTTTTGCCTTAATTAGAAATTAACAGTTTGAAATATTTTTACAGGTCGACATATACGTTCCAGGCTGTCCACCAACGGCTGAAGCCCTCCTATACGCAATGCTTTTGCTGCAGAAGAAAATAAAACGCATGAGGGTCTGCCAAATTTGGTACCGGGGTTAACTTCATCGTCTCGTGATCTGGATATAGACGTGTATTTGCATACTATAAATTTCGTTTTAGGATATTTTCTTGATTTAACGTATTTTGATAACTGAATAAACAGCTGTGAGTTTTATGAATTTTGTGGCTTATTGATAATTATAAGATCCATAAACAAGACCAACAAACAGAATTATGTATAAAGAATTTCAAAAGTAATTTCATATTGAATATACAATAGTAAAATTTGTATAAATAGGGATAAGTTTAGTATAGAAGCTAGGAGAAGAATGCCCAAACAATTACAAAGACTTGACAGGCTTTAACTTATGTAGACAAGGAAATTTAGTGGAAGATTAACCAAGGTCTGACAGATGTAATTTGTATTGTAGTCGAACAGAAGGAAATGGATCCCGAGCAATTCTGAAGTTATTCATTACAACCTGGGGCTTACTGACCGGCCCAATTGCCCAAGTAATATATTAAGAACGTGTCGAATTAGTAAAGTTGTACCTATTTTTTAAACTGCTTTATTGTATTTATCAATGCTACATCTCTATCTATACTAATGTTATAAAGAGGTAAAATTTGTAAGTTTGTATGTAGGGGGGGTAATCTTTGGAACCGCTGGTCGGATGGCCAAAATTCTTTCACTGATAGATAGCTACCATGATTCTGAGTGCTATGGGCTACAAAACATCGCGCTATAATCAAATGGAGCCGAGCAGCGGGTCAAACTGCGCGAGGGTAGTTAGTTATTAAAGTTATAAAAAAATTAAGTTTCTATGTAGGGGGATCATTGAAACTACTGACTAACTACTACATAATTCTTTCACTGATAAGATAGCTACCATGTTCCTGGATGCTATATGCGCTATAAATTATAACTGATAAGCGTATTTTAGTGGAGTTATCGCTTTAATCGCTGCTGTTTTTAAAATACCGGGATACTTACATTACTTTCATAGGCGTGCGAAGAAGTGGGCGGAAGCTAGTATTTTATATTAAAGTAGACCAAGTGCGATCTATCTAATCCTATATAATAAAAATAAAATAACAACAAAGCAACTTGCAAAGACAGCAAGCATTTGAAATATTTCGTTCACGCTATTGAGGAAGGTAATTGCTTTTTACATGTGTTCCTCCCTCCACCTTCTCTGAGGTCTCAGGTCCTCACTCCGGGTCACGTTCAGACACGTGCCTCAATTTACCAAACCGACGTGTGTATAAGGAAGCTGCAACATATATTTACGTCAGGACTCGCGGTTTTTACGAGCTCTTGTTTTGGCACATAAATAATGGTTTCGCTTCAAGAGTTTTTGCGTTATGAAGGATGAGTTGATAAGGTTTTTATTCGTGTGAATTGTGAGGAGTTTTGGTTGTGATTTGAACAAAGAAGTTTGTTAAAAGCGTTCTTAAGTATAGTTGTGCTACTTATGTTGCTCTGTATTATCCCTAAAAAATACTTGATGAAGGTAAACTTAACAGGTTAGTGTTCATCAATGGTGATGGTGGAAAAGTCACCATGACAATTTCATTATAAAGCTGTAGAGTTTGTTTGTTTGTTTGTTTGAACGCGCTAATCTCCCGAACTACTTGTTCGAATTGAAGAATTATATTTTTGTATGTGTAAGTCCATTTATCGAGGAAGACCATCCAAACTAATATAAATGCGAATGCTGTCTGTCTGTCTTTTCTTCACGCCTAAACTTCAAAACCTATTTGTGTGAAATTTGGCACAGACAGGTTGGAACTCGAGAAGGACATATGATAGTTTTTAACCCAAAAACTATGATAGTTTTTAAACCTAAAATCTGCAGAAAGTCGCTATTTCAGACGAACAAAGTCGCGGGCAAAAACTAGTCGGCTATAAAACTTTATGCTACGATCTGTAGGAGCCGAGCAGCTGGTGAAACCGCACAAGATTAGTCCCAAATTATATTCAACTCGAGTTAAGTAGAAGCTCTCCTTTACTAACAACCTTATCCATAATAACAAACAATATTAAGGTAACTATACCATAAACTGATGTTGACACCACCTGTCATTTGGAGAATACCCTCATGAATATCGGGCTTCAGCAAATTTATGGAAATACACTCAAACAACCAGCTAATGGAATTTAAAGCTACAGTACTGAAATAGAATGGTGATACGAGGAAAAGAAACACTGAAGTAAGGAGAAAATATGGGTCATGAGTATGTGAATAATGTTTTGGAACCATGGAGATGAAACCATATTCCCTTGGGTTTTTGTAGAACATAAATGATTTTAGTGTTAGAAAAGGTTTTCGTTCAATTCGTGGAATTTTTCAATGTTTAATCTGGCTGTCTTTTGAGTCTGGTAGTGAAATACGTGGCAGCTAAAAGTCTACACAATTTATATGGCATTACCGTCTTTTTCCATTAGCTTCGTTGGAAGTTTGATCTGACTTACGTCCAAAACTCTAACTATATAGGAAAAAACCTTTTAATTTGTGTAGCGTTATAAACAGCGTTGGTAAAATTTTCTAAATTTATTTATTTATTAACTAAAATTTTCCAGAAGGATCGATTTCGGTTGAGTTTTGGCAAGCGTTAACTTCATAAGGAAAATGTTGGACCCTTACAATATACTTTTGTTACTCTTAAACCTATCAGTTACACGTCTTTTGTGATAAGAACACAATAGTACGTTTTCTATTCACTAAAAAATAAGTGTCCGACATAAGAATGTTTATGTTTCACTGGGTAAGTGAGGTTACCAGAGGCCCAATCTTTTTTCCGCCTCCCATCTCCAATACGCAATTCTCCGCATCTCAAATCCATAACCCCCAAAAACACCGCACTTGTAACTGTTTGTTATAATTTTGCGGATGTCCATAGGCGGCGCTATTTGCGCTATGCCATATAAATTAAATTCTAAACAACCATTAAATATTATCATCATCATTCCAGCAGTTTCCACAAAACATACTCAAAAACAAACGAAACATTTTACTTGTGCATGCCAACATTTATTTTTTGCTGACTAATGCTTAAGCCACATCAGCTAAAAAGACGAAGCAAAACCATTTTCATAATTTGTGTAGGCGGTTGAAACGGGTCCTTTATCAAGTAAAATGTGTGTCATTTATATTCCTTGTATCACACTGTAACATATGGTAGCTTTATCTTAAGCATGTTGAGCGAATGATTAAGAATAATGACTGTAACACACGTCTACATAAAGCAGGTGAAACAAATTGGGCTGTACCACTAAAATCTTGTACGTAAACTTGACAATCCTATTCAGTATTTCGACTTTATTTTTGTGTTCTCCGCAATATTGTCTTGTATTTTTTTTATCTATGACAACTATCAAAAATGTTCGTGGCGCCATATGAGACGGTTATTTTTGTGTAACAATTTATAAAAAGAAAATTGTGACATGCGATTTTCGTCCGTTATCTTAAGTTATACAATATTAGGTACTTATTGTGAAGAATTTTCTCCTTATTTATTTAGTGATGAAGAGTGCAACAATGCTTAATGTATAATGAATTTTTCGATAATTTCAATTGTTTATAATTTGCTTTTGTTATTTTTATTGGCTCAAGATCGGCTATACGTCCAACAAAACGTTAATTTTAAATTTCAACACAATGCACCTGGCAGCCTTTAATTAAGGGTATACTTTAATTTTTTTACTAAACTGAATCTTTAAAACGAATAATAATGTAAGCTTTGTTGGTTGTCCTTAAATAAATAAAAAATGGTATCGTTACCATCTTCTCAATGCATTGTTAAAATAAGCATTTAGAGTAAAAACTAATCAAACCATTTATTATTAAGTATTAAGTTTCTGTAGAATACCTTCCATTAACGGAACTACCCACACTAGATAATTCCTTTGTGATCTCTACGGTACACGAGAAAAATGAACAAAACTGTTTTATATTCGATCTGAAATCAATAGCAGCATCTTAAAAGGATGCTGTGAACGGTAAAATACATTTGCGGAGAGAAGTTACGTGGGTGGAGAGCTGCGGTCGAAGTGGAGTAGTTCGAGATTTCTGTAGTGAATAATACCTACGCTAAGAAAACTTGAATTAATTCTAGAATATTCTTCTAGATACAGCTTCGGGCTATTGTTGGTAGAATGGAAAACTATATAGATGGGATATCGAGAATGTTCGTTACGAGATGGTGTGTTAAGTTTATGACTATCTGATTGTTTAAAATCAAGATGGCTTTCTTGATTTTAAACTTGAGGACCGGTATTGAATCAGATCGGACTACTACCAACAAAATTGTTTATCAAACTACCTAATCAACAGTATGTTGATCGGAACTATGTATTAAGCAAAATTGGATAGGGGAATCGTATCTTTTCACTAGCCAATCATACTCTCACTGATTAAAACTGCCCCGGTATCCTATCATCCGCTCTCACGGGAATCTGGATTCTTTCGCCGCAGAATATCTTTGCTCCATGTCCAAGTTAATATCTAATAATTTACGATTACACAGTGCACGGAAAAATAACCCGTCTGATCTCCCACAGGTTATAAATACGGGGCTCATTATTGCCTGATTATAGTGAAGTTTAATTGGCGCACGCAATCGATACTGACTTGGCCAAACGCTTGGGTAATGTACTCGCTTAATTGTGTAATGCATCGCAGAGGTAATTGCAGAAGCTTCATTTTACCCCTTTCTTGAGGCCTGGTAAATGAGAAGAGGGAATTTGTATTGAACTACTTAGAATTATTTGTAGTTGATGTGTTTTTTTTCGTTAACGTAGGTTATGGCGCCAAGTATACTATAACAGTAGATTTAAGAGCGAATGTGGCGTAAACTTCTTTCATTGATATTTATTTCTTTTAGAATAATCTTCAAATGTATAATATTGAATAATTATTTAACACAAAAGCTGTTAAATCATCGCTTTGATACTAGAGAATGAGGCAGACTTGTACTATCCAAAATATGACCCTTCCTACCATTCCTTTTTCCAATATTTTTTGTCGCATATATTTGATGAATACGAGCGAGCCTTC